TTCGGACCCCAAAGATTAAGAACTTCTTTATTTGGAGATTTCAGAAAACGGCATCAAATCGACGTCAGTGGCGTAAATTCAGCCTTTTTCGCGTGAGATCCCAAAGGTAAAACAAACAAACGTACTTTCATGCAGGCATAAAAAGTCAAAATGGCCTGCAGTAAACAAACAAAATTTTTTTCTTTCCAAAGTTGACTGTTCCTTGTTTCCTCGCTTTTCTATTTCTATATTTTGCGTTCCATCCATGGTCATCTTAGCGCCGTATCTGTAAAGATTTATGTCAAGCACCCTCATATATATATATATATAACGTATGCTTTTATCTTTGGGTACGTTAAGTTGAGGATAAACTCACTGTAATTCGGCTAATTTACCTCTGTTATTTCTAGTACAGTGCTGTCGTCCTGTCTTATCATATAACGAAATCATGATCTTTTTCCCCTCTTCCTATTCAAGCGCCGTCTACCATCTGGTCGGTTTGTGCGAATTCACGTTGGTCACGTGATCCGCTTTGGGTGCAGTACACGATTATATTTGCTCTCAGGTCCGGATGAGGATACTGAACAGGAGAGTCCACAGTCATGGACAGAGTTGAAGCAGGCGTTTTACGCTCGAAAATTGGCGCAAGAACAACAACTTAATAAATTAACCGGCTTAACGACAACCCAAGATGTTGATCCCGGATGTGATTGGGGCTTTTCAGGTTAGTGTCCCCTCTCCCGAACGGTCATATGCACTCTGATTAGTAAATCGAGTTTCACTACATTGCATCAAGTTTACTTTGTATTTATTTCAAACATTCATTTCCTCTTTTTTACGTTGTTGTCCCTCACAACTCATCAGCCCTCCTATTGCATTCGTAGCTATCCTCAGCAAAGAAACTAATTCCGGGGCATAGGCTGCTCTAAAATGAAATAAAACCATTGTCATCATAAACGGTAGTAGCGCTGAAACGATGGGGCAAGGTCACTACGTACACCATCTCAGAATTACAAACAGTTTCGGCAAGTTATATTTGATCAGCAGTGCTTTCGCTTCTACGGGTGAGTGAATGCTGACAGATGTCGTATCAGATTATAGTGGTCATGTCATAGTAGTCATGTCAGATGTACTGTGCAAACTGAGACTCATTGGTTATTACTTCATCTTCACTCAGATGTACTTTCTGTTGGTCGAGACATTTTTCATATGCATCGTAATAATCGTTGTAGTTGCTTGGTCTCCACTAGACCGATGCAAATTGTTGATTGTCTGGGTTCCTTTAGTGCCTGCTTTTTAAATTAGATAAAAGCACATAAGGAATATGCAGTTGTTGCGTCTCCAACATAGCTACATCATACTAGAGGTTTATTGGTTTGTCTTTCGTTGATTATGATTTGAACAGATCATTTCGGGGTCTTGTTTCAATTTGAGTAGCAATAGGGCACCAATTCTCCCGCCAAAAGATTCAAAGTCATTCGGAGTTGGTTGGGGTATTACGGTGATCTGAAAACGAATTCGTTAGTTATACGTTAATCAGATTATGATATAGCGCGAGGGCATAATGAAATTGACAGAGTGCATTTCGTATACATTTTTGGCCTTGCTCGTGCAAAGAAGATAATCATTGTTTCTAGCTGGAAATGTTTTAGACTATGGGTTCGATTCAGATTCAGTAGCGAAGTTGTCCTAAACCTTGTTCTTTCCATAGCCCTTGGAAAAAACATTTTTCGAATAGATGACTAATCAGTTGTAGCCACATGCAGCAGACACCAAAACACTTATTCACTCCAGATTTTTCCGTATTTTAGTGCTTGTCTTACGCTTTCTTTCAACGGCCTACCAACAAATAGACTCATAATCTTGATCATTGCTTTTCGAACCGTGTCAGGAAAATTGATCTTTTTGCACCTTTCTGTGGTTTACACTCTCAAACGTACTTGCAGAGCAAGCTGTGTATTTATTCCCATCTCTTTACTGATCCGTTCAAAACGCGCGTCGTGAGATTGGAGGACAGCAATGAAATAAGTTGTATGATCCTTTTTTCAGTGACCAATGTAACAAACGTGCAATTTCCAGAAATTTTAGCTACGTCATTTATGCCCATTTAAAATTCTCCCTATAGACTCCATTTGTTCGGTCTGCTCCCAATAAAACTTTTCCATTTGGCGACTAATGTTTTGTTTTTTGCCTGTTCGCCGAAACGATAATTTTTATTCAAAAGTTGTATCGGTAGCCTTTTCGGTGCTTGCTGTTGATGATACGTATGCAAACAAATTACCCAGGTTGAATAGCGGTGCAAATAAATAAATAAGATAAATTCAGTCAACCCCAGCTGCGAGATTAAATTTTCATGAATTTGTTATGACGTTTTCCGCCCACCTACTCACACACGCACATGATCTTTTCCGTGTTTGATTCCAGCTGAGGAACCCTGCGATGACGGAGCCAATTTTCTCGCCAATATCAAAGGCGCTGCTTGTTTATCTCATGAGAATTTATATTTGGATGACCCGAAGCGTGCTTTACGGGCCTACTTTGAACGTGAAGGTATTGAGCCAGCACCAGAGTTTGAATTTGTGGAAGCTGCATTCGGAAAACAGCATTGCCGTATTGAGTGAGTGGTGGTGTATTCACTAGATGAGACCAACAATCGAATAGATCTTTCACTTTTGCTGACCTCTTGGAATGATATCCTCTCGTATCGGATTTCGTCCTTACTGTTTCCCTTTTGTTGAGAAACAGAAAATTTTCATCAATCTGGTTTAATAAACTAACGGATGCCTACGGTTTGCTTTGACCTCAAAGGGGTTATGGTAATCCAGGCAAATAGGATTTGAACGGAGAAATTCGTCGTGTATATGTCAAATGAAGCGTGAACTGAAAAGCCAGGAAGCACTGAACAGCTGTTTCGACCTGGTTGGATCTCATCAGCAGTGCGAATCCATCGACCCAACTGGGGATCGAACCCGGGACCTCATGTGCTGAACGCGACGAATTCCCCTTTTGAAATTAAACCAAATCCCCTGTTACTCATATAAAATAGGGTTTTCCTAATACCCCTTTATTTTTCCAGTGTGTTGTCTCCAACCTCCCATAAAATCAACCCATTATCATTCGATTTGTGTTGTCGTCTTCCAGATTGCCATTGGACTCTGGAACCATCACAGCCGAAGCTATTGTGTCCGGGAAGCGGAAGGAGGCTATTGCGGCTTGTGCACTCGAGGCTTGTCGACTGCTGGACCGTTTAGGGGAATTCGATCCTAACAAAAGTACGTTGCAGCACGATATTTTGTTGATTGATCAGTTTTATTCTCATTGTGCGTGGATCGCGTTCATGGTTCACCTGTCCTAATGAACATATCGCATAAATGGACCAAGACCAACAATGGCAACATACATGGTGATAGCCGGATTGTGGTTTACACTTTAGGGCAAACATCTGTCACCGTTTGCCGTATTGGCTGTCCTGTTGATTCCGGGAGNAACTGTCAAACTAGAGCTGTGATTCGCTAGATGACCAACATCCTATCCCATCTTCCAACATAGTGCTAAAAGAATTTCGTTATTTTTCCCTAAAAGAACAAGATGATGACGGCATCAAGCTGAAAAGCATTTAGGCTCTTATCTCCGTTTTATCCACTTTCAACCTCCTTTCCCGTGTTCGATTTCGCTCAACGTGGCAATACAACTGTAACCAGAGAACACCAGCAATGTGCTTGGTCATTTGTGTAAACCCCACTACCTCAACGAAACACCGCTCCCTTTAGGATCAGTCTCATTTGTTGTACCTCACTGATAATACACAAATAAGTCATGTAGTGATATTTTATTACACACCCTTA